GCTTCCTCAACAAGCAGAAAAATGGGCTCAGAATGAATGTGTTGTCTGTGCACAAACAAAACGATGTCAACAAAGACACAAAGACACTCGGTTTAAGTGCGAGGAATATAAGATACACTGTGCATGATATCTTGTTTCTAAGATTTCCACAGACTGCAGCAGTATCTAGGAACTTCTCCATCACTGTAAGTATGTAAATATATAAAGAAACATTACTAACATACAGTAGGCCCTCGTTTTTCGTAATTAATCCATTCCTGGAATGAGGACTATTATCAAAATTGATGATTTTCGAATCTATTTTCCCAATAAGAAATAATGTAAATACAATTAATCTGTTCCAGACATTCAGAAGTATTAAGACATAAAATTTTTTTACATGAAATATAGATGTAGTGCAAACACAATACAATGGGACATGATGAATGAAACATTAACAGCATAACACTTACCTTTATTGGCGATTCTTCTTAGTGTATGGAAGACTGGAGGAGGAGAGAGATTGGATTAGTTACTGTTTGGAAGGGGATTCCCTTTCCACCAACACCTCAAGTACCAAGTCCTTTTCTGGGGTTACTTCTCTTCTCTGTTTTTTAATGCCACTAGGACCACCTTGAGAGTCACTGTACACCTGTGGCACTAAATATTTGTCCAGAGAGCTGTTTCTGGCATCTCTTTAAAACTTCCCTAAAATGGGCCAAGACTTTGTCACTGAATAAGTTGCCAATATGGCTTGCAACAGCCTTGTCAGGGGGATGTTTCTCCATAAATCTTTCCATCCTACCCCACATTTCAAAAATCTCCTTAATTTTTGAAGAAGGCAACTTCTTCCATCTCTCTTCCTCCTCCTCTGCAGCAATATTCTGAACTGCGGTTTGTTGCTGTTCCTGCTGAAGGTCTTGCAGCTCCTCAGTGGTTAGCTCTACTATGTGGTCCTCCACCAACTCTTCCACATCCTGCAAACTCACAGCCAACCCCATGGAACTCCCCAATGCCACACTAGATTTCACAACTGTCATAGGCTCATCAGGGTCAGCCCCAAACCCTTCAAAATCCCTCTTGTCGACACAATCTGGCCATAATTTTCTCCAAGCAGAGTTCAAAGTCCTGGCAGCCACTCCGTCCCAAGCCTTACCTATAAGGCTTATGCAATGGAGGATACTGAAGTGATCTTTCCAAAACTCTCATAGGGTCAAGTGAGTGTTTGAGGTCACATTAAAACACCTTTGAAACATTGCTTTGGTGTAGTTTTTTAACCCTTTGACTGTCGGAACCCCCAATCCTGAGGTGTCTCCTGGTGTCGCAAAATTTAAAAAAAAAAAAAAAAATTATTTTTTCTTATGAAATGATAGAGAATCTTTTCCCGATTGTAATGACACCAAGAAAACGAAATTTGATGGAAAACCGACGGAATTATGCTCTCGCAAAGTTAGCGACCTCGGCGCTGTTTACAAATCGGCGATTTCGCCCACTCTGAGCCCTATTTTCGGCTAATTCCATTGTTCCAGTCGCCCAAACTCATAGCTATTTCTTTAGAACTTCATTTTTTCTATCGATTGAGTACAAGAAACTGCCCATTTACCGATTTCAACTACCTAATAATGTGATCAGAAATTTGCAATTTGGCCAATTTCACGAAAACTAAACAATATGACAATTTCAAAATAAGGTCCAGAATGAACAATGCAGACATTCCTGGCTCTAAAATAACGTTTTCTTTGTTCATCAGTCATGTCTCCAGGCCCCTCTGATATTACTCTTGCTTTCTATTTTGAATTTTTATTCAAACAAAAAATAGAAGACTTACTATTATGCAGACTACTGCAATGCTGTAATAACTGTATAAATAACATCAACCCATTCATGACTGCATATTAGAATGGCTAGTTGGACATTTATTGGACAATGGCATCATTTGTTTACTTTTGAACATTGGCAAAAATCAAACATTTCCCCTACTTTGAGCTCCATTTCTAGGTTCTTTTTATAGCAAAATCAATCAAAATCACCTCTATTTCTGTAATATGTTTTCCATTCTATCAAATGAGACCAAGAAAACGAGAATACAACCATAAATACTATACGAAAATAGACCACAAAGTCGGCATTTTAATTAAAAAAAACGGACGGAGTATTTTTTTCCTCATTATGCACTGCGTGCTCCAGGATTTTTTTTATATAGTGCACACTGACCACACAGACCCATTCTCTCACATGTGGGCCTACCAGCTTTCTCCTGCTTGATTTGAAGCCGCTAGAATTTATGAGTATATATACGTCAAACACGGTACCTCGTAAAACGTATACTGTATATGGCCGCAACAGTCAAAGGGTTAAAGTCTGAAATGATCTGCTGGTCCATGGGTTGGAGGAGAGGAGTGGTATTCGAGGGCAAGAACTTTACTGTGATGAACCCAAACTCCTCCAGAATTAGGTCATCCAAGTTTGGAGGATGAGCAGGTGCACTGTCCATCAGCAGGAGGCACTTAAGATCCAATTTCTTTTCCAGGAGGTAATTCTTCACACTAGGGCCAAACACTTCATTGAACCACTCGACGAAAATTTCCCTTGTGACCCATGCCTTATTACCCTTCCAAAACACACATAATTTACTCTTCATAACATAGCTTTTCCTTAACACACTAGTATTTTCAGAATGGTACACTAGTAACGACTTCACTTTGCAATCCCCACTAGCATTAGCACAGAACATGAGTGTCAGCCTGTCTTTCATAGGCTTGTGTCCTGGCAGTCCCTTTTTCTCCTGAGTAATGTAGGTCCTCTTAGGCATTTTCTTCCAAACGAGGCCTGTTTTGGCACAATTGAACACTTGTTCAAGTTTCAGTCCTTCAGCCTCTATGTACTCCTTGAATTCACTTATGAATTTTGTAGCTGCATTTTATCCGAACTGGCAGTCTCGCCATACCTTATCACACTGTTTATCCCACTGCGGTTCTTAAATCTCTCATACCAGCCTTTGTTGAACTTAAATTCACAAATATCAGTACTCAGTTAACTCGTTGCAGGCAATTTCTTTACGGGATCGTCATGCAACTGCCTATCCTTTTCACAAATAAGCAACTGCATAAGACTATCTCCTGCTAATTGTTTCTCGTTTATCTACACCAATAATAAATTCTCAACATCTTCGAGTACTGGTGATCTCATTTTTGTCAGCATATTTACACCCTTTGCAACAACAGCTTCCTTGATTTCCTTTTTCTTGGCCACGATGGAAGCTATGGTTGTATGGGGTTTCTTATACATCCTGGCCAGTTCGGCCACATGTACGCCACTTTCATATTGTTCAATGATGTTTTTCTTAAATTCAATCATATTTCTCACCCTCTTTACCAAAGGCCTGGCACTAGGAGCTTTCTTTGGAGCCATGGTAGCTTATTTAGCAGTTGCAAGCACTAAAATTAAAGGAATATTATGAAACATTTCGTATGAACAAGTGAGGGGACTGTCACTCACTGGTAAAAAATGGCACACTGGCTGAGAAAGGAGGGCGAGGCGGCTCGGAGCCATGTGTACGCGTCCGGGACGAACAACTATTTGCAAGTCAAACGACGATTCGCGAGCCAATGTTTTGACAAAAATAACATTACGATTTTCGTAAATTACGACTATCGAGTCTTACGATTATCGAGGGTCCACTGTACCTACAACTGCATAAGCCTTACAGGTAAGGCTTGGCAGGGAGTGACTTCCAGGACTTTAAACTCTACTTGGAGACAACTGTGGCCAGACTATGTCCTCGAGAAGGATTTTGAAGGGTTTGAGGCTGACCCTGACCCTGTCGACCCTCTGCCTGTTGTAGAATCTACTGTGCCATTGGGAAGTCCAAGGGGTTGGATGTGAGTGGCAAGGATGTGGAAGAGTTGGTGGAGGACCACAGGGAAGAGCTAACCACTGAAGAGCTGCAACACCTTCAACTGGAACAGCAACAGACCACAGCTGAGGAACTAGCTTCAGAGGAGGAGGAGGAACAGAGGGGAAAGGATGCATGAGCCTTCTTCAGTGATTAAGAACATTTGTACAAAGTGGAATGAGGTGCAAACTTTTATGGTGAAATATCACGATAACCAAGCTGAAACAAGTCATATCTGCATCATGTTCGGTGACAAAACCTTGTCCCATTTTAGTGAAATCTTACAGAAACGCCAGAAACAGAGCACTCAAGACAGTTATTTTGAGCGACAGGGGTCCAGTGACTCAAGCTGGTCCTAGTGGCATTAAAAGACAAAGAAAGGAAGTAACCCCAGAGAGGGCTTTGATATCTAAAGTCCTTATGGAGGGGTATTCCCCTTCCAAACAATAATCTGCTCTCCCTCTCTCCTCCTCCCTGTTCCATAAGCCAACAAGTCTTCAATAAAGGTATGTCATAGTGATTAAATGTTCTTAATTTATTTTAATTAGTTCTCACTGCAAGTATTTTGTGTACGTAAAACTATAATTAATCTTTAAAAAATGTTTTTTTTTTTTAATATTTTTGGATGTCTGGAATGGATTAACTGTATTTATATGAATTCTTATGGGAAATATAGCTTTGAATTTAGGCCGTTTTGAATTTAGGCCAACCTTCCGGAACGGATTACGGCTGAAAAACAAGGTTCCACTGTACTTCCAATCACAAAGAAGCTAAAGAAGAATAAAAATCACAAGTGTGTGGTTGGAATAATTCGCAACTAATCCACAATTAGGAGAGGAAACTTTGGATAACATTTCTGGTTATGTCGCTTTTCTGTGAAAACTAGATGATGGTCCAGGGAAGACTGAAATATCGTCTGAAGTTCTTCTCTGAATTATGAGTTAGTATTAAAGCACATCACTGTTTACTAGCACTCACAAACAAAAACGTGCACAGAACGAAAACTACCTTGGAAAATACAGACAAAAAAAGTGAAAAATAAAGATAATAGAATCAAGGAAAATAATACCAATAAAAAGAATTAAGGTAGAAATAATGCATATACATGTATTTGCTTCAATAAAAATATAAAAACACGATTCTATAATTTACAAATACTTACCATTTCCCAGTCCACATTTGGATGACCTGGCCAGAACTCTCTGACTGTGAAAAGAAGGTCTAATGTTTCCCTTCGACTCCAATCTCCACCCTCTTCACTAGCCCACCATTCATCTGAAAAAGTACAGCTTACTACATGACAGACGACTAAACCTTCACCATTCCTTACACTGAATGACCTACAATGGTTTAATACTTCATGAAATATTACACACATCATACTTTAACAACACATGTCATAGAATCAAGAGGTATTTACAGTATAAGCGAGTCAATAATCCACTGGATAATGATGGTTTTAGTTTATGATTAACCCTTTGACTGCCAATGTGTTTGACGTATTAATACGTCAAAATTCTAGCGGCTTCAAATCAAGCAGGAGAAAGCTGGTAGGCCCACATGTGAGAGAATGGGTCTCCATGGTCAGTGTGCACCATATAAAAAAATCAGGGAGCCAGTGGTGCATTGTGGGAATGCCATTTCAGTAGACGTTTCGCCAGCCACTGGATGGCGAAACGTCTACAATAAAGATAACCAGATGTTGCACAAGTGTCTTAACTTTCATCTTGTCGGTATTGTATACCTGTCTTGCACAACTTGTCAGGCACTGCAACATCATGGAATCTTGGTTCAGAGGACATCTACATGACTTTCTTCACGACTTCTACAACTAGCCCATCAATTTGGAAAGGACCTACTTCCACTGGGGAATCCCGCCTACCAGTGACTATGCCCTCGTCTGCTACACGTCCCTTTCACTGACGCCTATATAAGCGCCAGTCTCCTTGCCTGTGCTTCAGAATCTCTACAACCACGGTGCTCTAAACACCACCTCCAAGGCTGAGGGACTGATTACCTCATCTTTTGTACATAGTTTTTTATGCCCCTCTGAAAATTCTATACAGACTCTGTATGTGTTACCTCAGACTTAATACCCATTTTTATGCAACAGTTCAAGTGATCTCGGACATACAGTGCCACCCCACCTCCCTTACCGATATTTCTATCTACTTGGAACAATTTAAAACCTTGAATGTGACATTCCGCAGGTATGTCCCGATTTTTCATATTGAACCACGTCTCAGTTAAGGCAAATACATCAATGTTACCTGCACTAGCAACTAGTCTCAACTCGTCCATCTTATTCCTAGCACTACGGCAATTAGCATAATATAATTCTGAAGACCCTCCTTTCTCTTTACCCTTCCTGCTCATATCTGTTTTTTCACTAAACCCATTGCTGTCCTTGTCGCCTAGTGCCATTGGCTTTCCAATATCCACCTCATTCTGCCTATTACTAGTTCCCCTAGAACTCATAGTATTACTACACTGGGACTTCACTAATTATCTCTATTGCTGACCTATACCTGCTAATCAGGTCCTCACTCCTACATCTGCCAACATTGTTGCCTCCCGCACTGAGGCAGATAATAGGATTGCTCCCATTACCTTTCATCATGTGGTCTGCGCTAACAATAGTCCCATCCGCCCAGGAAAACCATCCCTTTTGCCACCTTCTAACCTTGTTCCATCCCTTTGGAATCCACAAAAGGGCCCCCCCATATTCCATGAAACTTAACCTGACTGTCCTCCAACTAAAACCATATGGTTCTTACCGTCTATTTTTCTGGAATTGTCATGATGTTCTTGAAAATGTTCTTCAATTGGGGTTGGGTATCAAGGGATGTCTCACTCACGTCTGCCAATGCTCCCTTGGTGCTCGTTGTGACGTTCCCAGTAGACAATTCACATTCGTCTGGTAACACCGAAAATGGGTTGGAAGTCTCCACAGCAATCTTCTGGATCTTCGTTGTTTCCACCACTCCAACAGACTTTTTGATTTTCAGCTTTGTTCCATGTTGGCCGGTAACTGACTAAGTACCTCTCTTGACCTGAGGACTCACAACAGGAGGATTACTTTGAATCCTCTTGTTTTCCTCCGTCAGTCGCTGTATCTCAAGCTTAGCAACCCTAAGCTCCTTTTTCAGCTGCTGGTACAGTTGCTCAAGAGAGGACATCTTGTGCAGATTCACGGAGAACACACTGGACAGAACTTCACAGATCTAAGTACACATCACCACTGAGAGCTAAGTACACATCACCACTGGGCTAAGTACACGTCACCACTCAAGCTAAGTACACGTCACCACTGAGCTAAGTACACGTCACCACTGAGCTAAATACACGTCACCACTCAAGCTAAGTACACGTCACCACGTCACGATGTGGTCAGTCCATCAATCTTGAATAGAATGAAGGACTGGCCTAGAATAGGCCAACAGGCCTATTGCAGTGTTCCTCCTTTATGTTCTAAAAGCTATGGCTTGGGTAGTTTCAAATTTAGGCTGGATAAATACGTAATGGTGAAGCTGGAGGTGCTGTCCTGGGAGACAGTAATGGTGAAGCTGGAGGTGCTGTCCTGGTAGACAGTAATGGTGAAGCTGGAGATTTTGTCCAGGTAGTCGGGAATTATACGCAGGAAGGAATACATATGACCTCATAGGGGACAGGAGCCATAGTGGGGAAACAAGTGTAGTCAAAGATAAGATAAAACCAATATTGCAAACTAGAAATACAACAGGAAATAGCAAACAAGAGGACTCCACTAGCAATAGTGAGGATATATTACCAAAAACAACTGGTGGGAGCTCCATTGTTGGTGCTAGGGAGGATAGGAATAAGACAGGGAAACATGCACCAACAGGGAATACAGTCACAGAAACCCAAGGCAAACGGAAACCAAGCCTGTGCACATACTATGCACTTGGTATCTGCAGACATGGGAAATCTGGAAAAACAGATGGGACGTGCAACTATGACCACCCTAGAAAATGCCGTGCCCATATGACAACAGGAAAATGCAAACTCCCTTCTGGCGTTTCTTTAAGATTTCCCTGAAGTGGGACACAACACTGTCATTGTACATGTTGCAGATACGGCTTGTTTTAGCTTGGTCAGGGTGATACTTTTCAACAAAACTTTGCAACTCATTCCACATATGTCCTTAATCGCTGAAGAAGGCACCTCATCCACTCCCTCTTCCTCCTCCTCTGAAGCAAGTTCCTCGGCTGTGGTCTGATGCTGTTCCAGTTGAAGCTCTTGCAGTTCGTCAGTGGTTAGCTCTTCCCTGTGGTCCTCCACCAACTCTTCCACATGCCTGTCACTCACTTTATTTACCAAAGGGCTTGCACTAGCTTTCCTTGGGTCCATGATGACTTATTTAGCAGTTGCAAGCACAAAAAACAATGGATTATTATGAGATGTATTGTATGAACCCGTGGGGTGATGGTGACGTGTTGGTAAACAATGGCACACTGAGCAAGAATGGCATGGGAGACTGGCTTTATGTGCGCGGTGACGGGTGGACGAGTGCCGGATGGTAGCCGAAACGCGAGTTTTTTCACAAAACTCGAGGCCAAATTTCCCCCCCCCCCAAAAAAAAACTCGCCGAAGGTCAAATTTCATGAAAGTCAAGGCTGCCGAAACTCGAGGGTCCACTGTATTCACTTTTTATTTTCTTCTCTTACATACCCTACCAAATTCATCCACCAACCTCTGCAACTTCTCTTCAGAATCTCCCAAGAGCACAGAGTCATCAGCAAAAAGCAACTGTGACAACTCCCACTTTGTGTTTGATTCTTTGTCTTATAACTCCACACCGATTGCCAAGACACACACATTCACTTCTCTTACAACCCCATTTATAAATATATTGAACAACCATGGTGTTATCAAGGCCTACTTTTACTGGGAAATAATCTCCCTCTTTCCTACATAATCTAACCTGAGCCACATTTTTTTTTTTTTTAACAAGTCGGCTGTCTCCCACCGAGGCAGGGTGACCCAAAAAGAAAGAAAATCCCCAAAAAGAAAATACTTTCATTATTCAACTCTTTCACCTAACTCACACATAATCACTGTTTTTGCAGAGGTGCTCAGAACGCAAAAGCTTAGAAGCATATACGTATAAAGATACACAACAAATCCCTCTAAACTGCCAATATCCCGATCCCCTCCTTTAGAGTGCAGGCATTGTACAGTGGACCCTCGACCAACGATGGCACCGATTAACGATAAATCCGACTAGCGATACATTTTAACCCTTTGACTGTCGCGGCCGTATATATACGTTTGCGAGGTACCGTGTTTGACGTATATATACTCATAAATTCTAGCGGCTTCAAATCAGGCAGGAGAAAGCTAGTAGGCCCACATGTGAGAGAATGGGTCTGTGTGGTCAGTGTGCACCACATAAAAAAAATCCTGGAGCACGCAGTGCATAATGAGAAAAAAAAAACTCCGACCGTTTTTTTTAATTAAAATGCCGACTTTGTGGTCTATTTTCGTATAGTATTTGTGGTTGTATTCTCGTTTTCTTGGTCTCATTTGATAGAATGGAAACTATATTATAGAAATGGAGGTGATTTTGATTAATTTTACTATAAAAAGAACCTGGAAATGGAGCACAAAGTACAGGAAATGTTTGATTTTTGCCGATGTTCAAAAGTGAACAAATGATGTCTTGTCCAATAAATGTCCAAATAGCCATTCTAATACGCAGTCATGAATGGGTTGATGTAATTTTTACAATTATTACAGTATTGCAGTAGTCTGCATAACAGTAAATCTTCTATTTTTTGTTTGAATAAAATTTCAAAATAAAAGCAAGAGTAATATCACAGGGACCTGGAGACATGACTGATGAACAAAGAAAATGTTATTTTAGAGCCAGGAATGTCTGCATTGTTCATTCTGGACCTTATTTTGAAATTGTCGTATTTTTTAATTTTCGTGAAATTGGCCAAATTGCAAATTTCTGACCATGTTATTGGGTAGTTGAAATCGGTAAATGGGCAGTTTCTTGTACTCAATCGATAGAAAAAATAGAGTTCTGAAGAAATAGTTATGAGTTTGGTTGACTGGAATAACGGAATTAGCCGAAAATAGGGCTCAAAGTGGGCGAAATTGCCGATTTTTAAATATCGCCGAAGTCGCTAACTTCGCGAGAGCGTAATTCCGTCAGTTTTCCATCAAATTTCGTTTTTTTGGTGTCTTTACAATCGGGAAAAGATTCTCTATCATTTCATAAGAAAAAATAATTTTTTTTTTTCGAA